CCTGTGCCCAGGGGTGGCGGGTGGCAGAGGTTTCCATTGCAGACCAGCCTCGTGGACCCGAGTGAGCACCGCTTGGACACGGTGTGACGGCTCCTGGACGTTGCTGGATCCGTCCGATGTCTCCAGTTTTGTTAGGCCGTTTTGCATCTAAGTTGGGAAGACATATTGATCTCTATTTGAACTATGTTTTCTTGACTTTGGTGTCATGGTAATAACGCATAAAATGGGTAGGGGAGTTTCCCCTCCTCTTCTGTTTTCTGGAAGAGGCTGGACAAGTCTTGTTAACTTCCTTAACTGTTGGGTAGAATTCCCCAGGGAAACCACCTGAGCCTGGAGAACCTGTTTCTGAGTAGGTTATAACTGCGAAGCCAAATGCTTCAGTGGTTCTAGAACCATTCCGATTGTCTGTTCCGTCTTGACTGAGTTTGGGTGGTTTGCAGTTTTTGAGAAATGGTTCCCCCGAGTCGCTGACTGTATGGGCATAAAGCTGTCGGCCGTCTGCTCTCACCCTTGCGGGGGCTGCAGGGCCCACAGCGACCTCCCTGGGCTCATCCCCGAGGGGGACCTCTGTCTTGTCGGCCTTGCTGGACGTTGCTCAGTTTCACCGCTTTCTTGAACGAAAGGATTCTCGTTTCGTTGACTTTTCTCTCTGGTTTTCCTGGTTTCGGCTTGCCTCACTAACTTTGGAGGGTGGTCCTTACCACCTGCAGCCGAGCGCGGGAGGGATGCCGGAGGCGACAGGCGGGGCTGTGGTTTGGGGAGCGACCGAGCGCGGGGGGAAGCGGGGAGCCCCTTGTCTGTCCTGCACCCGGCACGACACACGCGGTCTTGTTGCTGCCCCAGCCATGTGTTCTGCCCGCTCCGAGGGACGCGGGGCTCCCGGACGCTGGGCCCGCACCGAGGGACACGGGGCTCCCTGACGCTCCTCTGGCCGCAGCATCGGGTCAGACCAGTACTTGTCGGCTTGGAAATGCCGGGTCGATGAGTCTGGCGGTTGCCCCGGAGCCCGAGATCCGGTGCCCGGGTGACGAGATCCTGTTGGCCGGGAAGGTGATCTGCAATCCATGTTCTTGAATTAATGAGCACAGTAGGGGAGGCGGTGCTGTGATGATAACTTCCTCCCAGACAATAGTGAGCTTGTGCTGCGGGTAAATTCTTGCCCCGTCGGGGAAAGGTGGGCGGAGGCGGCAGCGGTGAACCACGGAGCCGCCGGCAGCGGACTCTCAGCCGCTGGGAATGTGCTAGTGATGATGAGCTTGGAAACTGCTTACCTGGGGTTTTGTTCCTCCTGAGAAATGTGAGCTCCAAGCTGGATTTTGCTCCTCGGGCCATGATCTGCAGAAATTCCCTCTGGTGTCTTGTCAGGGATGGTCTGTGGTCTGCACAGGACCCTCTGAGAGATTCCAGACCTTTGTCCTTCAGGTTTATTCTGACATGGATGCAGCTGTTTAAGGACTTGTTTCAGCTAATAAAATGCGTCTAAAAGATCACGTGGTGAAATTCACAGATGAGGCTTTTTGTGGTAAAGTCATTCAAGGGCTTCCGTCCTAGTACCATGACAATGCTGCGTAGATAGTTGTAGATACAATATAAAATACTATGTAAATAGTTGGCTTTCATAGCAAATTCATGTTGTGCTTTTTGGAACTTTCTGGATTTTTTTTAACTGAATATGTTCGATCCACGATGGGCTGAGTTTGAGGGCTAGCTGTGTGACACAGGAATTAACAGTCAGCCCAGCGAGCCTCTGAGCTTTGTCTACTCACCAGTAACTTCAGCTTGGACAGTATTTTAAAGTTTACAAAGTACTTTCCTTTACATTTTTCATGATTTTCAGATTTTTTTCAGATCATCTGAACTTAAAAGCACGAATAAGAGACCTACTGTTATTTTTGCCTTTACAAATTAATGCTTTGATCATATTGCATGGTCTGGTGGGGATTCAGACCTGTGCCCCCTCTGTGCTGCAGCGTCTGCATTTGTAAGTGGAGATGACAGTGGACTGTTCCTTTTTGGGGTCTGATGAGGATTGGATGGGGTTGTGAATGTTAAGGGCTGGCATACAGTAATGGTTTAGTCAATGCTACAGGTTATAGTGATGACAGGGTCAGTGACGTTTGCGGAGGCCCTGGGCCCAGGATGGCAGCTTGGGCTTCGCTGGGAGCTCGTTTGAAATGCACCACCTGCAGGATTGGACTATGCATTTTATCATGCCCCCCAGGGGATTCACTTGTGCAGTAAAGGCAGAGAAGTCCTGGCTTGCTCCCTGATACCTTGGCCTCAGTCTTGATGGATCAAATTACAGCTGTTCTAAAATACACTTTCATTTTTAAATTTTTAACATTTTAGTTTTATTGGCAGCATTTTTCTTCCAAAATGGAACAATAAATACGAATTTAGCTTCCAGTTGATGGAGTCTTAACTTCGGTGAGATAGTGTATTCTACCATCTTTTTTATTTGTCTTTTCTCCTCTGTTTTTCTGTGTCTGTTTCTGACCCTCTTTATCTCTGACAAAGGCTCGTAACAGATAAATGTGCAGCTCCAACCAGCTCTGCTTAGTGGAAAGACTCGTACGTCGTCCCTTGGTAGACATGACTTCTAGTCCTAGCTTTATGACACTGAATATCTCTGGTTATCCCAAAAAAGATGTGAAGGTTAATTTTTAAAAAAGATTTCATTCACTTTTAATTAAAACAGGAACATATCAGAATGAACAAATGCTAGGTTTTCACTGCTTCTGCAGAGCGAAGCTGGCCTCCCTGGGCCCGGCCGGCAGCTTCCTCGTCGTGCTGCCACACGCGGCATCAGGCCTCCGCATCTACCTTTTGATTTCTGGAGCAGGGATGCAAACTGTAGTCTGGTTCTGCTCGTCTTGGTCGTGGGCCTGTGTGAACACAGGGTCCCTCCCAGAGAACAGCCAGATCAAGCAGGTGGCCTCCTTGTGCCTGAGGGCCGGCCCCTATGGCCGCTGGGAGTCAGATGGCTCTCAGGCCGGTGCTGCTGGCAGGTGAGTGGGCCCCACGTCGACCCCAGCAGGCGACACAGGGGACCGATGAGTCCAGACAGGGTTGGGGGAGGTGACCTAATGTCGACTGGGTGCTCTGCGGACCCCTCAGGTCTCTCCCTTGGGCAGTGCACGCGTGGAGGGAGGCAGTTGTTTGATTGTTTCAG